AACAAAACCATTATACCCTGATTTCCCATTTTCAATGGGTTCAGGGTATAACAAAAACCAAACCACTGTTCGGCTTCTTTGAAAGTGTGGGTCACAGTTGTTGTTGCATAATTTGTCGCAATTAAATGTGAGCTGGCGGACAGACAAGTGAGGCTCATTACACACCTTCATAAATATCAAGCATACGCAGCGTGCGACAATTGTCAAGATTAGCGATGCATGCAAATGCCAAGCAGATGAGCAGCGGAATGGCGCCCCCATCTGGCTGTCTGATTGTACGATTGTCTCACTGTCTCAGTGTCTGTGTCTGTGTGTCTGGGTGACTGACTGACGCTCAGTGACCATGGCCAGGTAATTTTGCAGCCGCCAAAAATCAATGACCGACCGGTTTTGCATAGGCTTTCAGTGTCTCTTCACTTGGCGCTGTCCATGTCGCACTAACGTAACAACTTTCGCTGAAACGTCATTCACAACAACAACAGCAACAACAACAACAATGAAAACTACAACTGCAAATGGCAAAAGGCAGCAGATAAAGCCAAACGATGGCATCAACAAAAGCAAAAGCCATAGCCAGAGCCATAGCCAGAGCCAGAGCCAAAGCCAAAAGGCAAAGCCAATGATGAAGCAGAAGAAATTTCGATTTCAGTGTCGCCTTTTGCCTTGTTTGGCTATTAACGCAAGTCTAGACCAGTTTGTGCCAGCAGCAAAGTAGCAAAGCAAAAAATATCGAATAAAAAACGGAGCAGGAGCAATAGCAACAGCAACATCTCAGCTCCATTTGTAGCTAACAAATTTTTGTCAGACTTTCGAGTGGCTGCTGCTGCTTTGGCTGCTGGAAGAGACTCATTTGAATAATTGAAAACCACTTGCACTGCAATTAAGAGCATAAAATGAAATGTTTGATTTGCTACACGTTTCAAAGTCATTCAAAATTGACTGCACTCGCTTCAATTGCCGGAAAATTTCGCTCCATCTTCAACGGCGCAGCACTAAAAAAATAACAAACGAGAAACCCAGCCTAAGAGTCAAATGGCTTTGCAGCAGACATGCTACACACACACAAACACACACACACACACACACATGCACACATGCATACATGCTCTGCACACACCGGAAATTGTTAAACACATGCCATGTGAGCATGAGAGCTACAGATACTCGTCGAAAAGTCGACAGAAAGAAAACCCAAATCCCCAATTTGAGCACATGGCCACGCCCCTCTATCAAAGGCAACGCGACAACATTCTCAGCCCCAGCATATTTTATGTATGTATATGTATTTTTATGTGAGACTTGGCCAAAAAATTCACTTTCATGCAGCCATCACGCGAATCATCAGCCAGCATAGAGAGTCTGGCTGAGATTATCCATATGTATGTATGTGTGTATGCGTGTATATAAATCTCAAATTGGGCTTTAATTTGAAAACTCAAGACCACCAAGCCCGCACTCCAAGCAACGGCTACACGGGCCAAAGAAGCGGGATTGGCTTATGAGAGAAGGAAAGAAATTCGGTCTCAGTTGGCCTTAGTCAGCTTTTGTATAGTTAGAGGGCAGAAATCTAATCGAAATGATTTAGTTCAATGAATTAAATTTCTTTCTACAAATAACTACTACATATGTATATCAAAATCAAGCAACAAAATTGATTTATTTTATGAAATATATATGTCTTTCTACAAATCGCTACCACATCCAACAATAAAATTTTTTTAATAAAGTTAAACAAATCTTACAATCGAATTTCTACAGTTTCTACAAAAAAAAAATCTCATTATAGAAGTCTTAGAACTTACCATCGATTCATTGTTTGGCAGTCGTTAAATAAAACTATCCAATGGGATTTGCATATCTTAGACGAATGGTATGGAATTGATTGATGATCTTGTCTCAGATATCTCATATGATAGAAAACCATTTCATGCTTAATTTCTCTGTCTATCTCTCTCTCTCTCTCTGCCTCTTATTCTGTGCATTTCTATGGTCCGATGTGCCTATAAAAAAGAAGTAGATATCGTATTATTAAGTGAGTCCAAACGTATTGACACAGAAAGTCTTATGAACAAAAGGACCGAATCTCCTCTGACAATTCAAAATAATGTCAATATATAAGACAGCGGCAAGAAAAAATCTGACCATATAAACAAATACAAAGCTCTATTTAAGGCACAGTTTTCTAAAAAGATTATAAAATTAAAAAAAAAAAAATCAGGCCAAAGAGAAAAAATGGTTTAAATAGCTATACAGAAGCGAACCATAGCAAGCCAATGTAGGGCTAAAGACAAAAGACATAATTAAAATAGGCAAATTACTTTATATACATAAATACACTAAAACATATATAAATATTTACACAAATACAAATATTACAATAAATACAAATTTAAAATAATAATAACAATACACAAATAAATATATTTATATCTTATCTATATCTATTCACAAAATCATGTGCATGCAAAGTACTTAAACTCTGCATGGACTGAAGGGAGTCAAACTATTAGCAGTTTTTAATAACATTAACATACCGTGCAATCAGTGGAAATAGATGCATAATTGAGCACTTAGCCATGTTAACAGGGTGCAAATCATGCATGCCACACACCACACGCAACGAACAGCAACAAAAGGCAGCCACAAAGCAAGGGTCAGGCACAGTCACGTGATGGCCGCAGGACTTGATGCGATGCAGTTATACATCCTCTTTATATTGCTGGGCTCACTGTGCCACTGGCTGCACTGCATCCAGCTGCAGCATTTGTCAGAGCATCCAAAGTTACCTAAAGACTTGCTGCTGCAACTCCTAGAGCGCATTCGCCTGGAGCGGGACTATGATACCATTGTGGTCTATGGAAGTGAGCCGTGTGTGTTTTATGGGCTGCTGCCTCAGCTGGGGCTGCCCACAGTGCTGCTCGCTCAGGGCAGCAGCTGG